ATATTTACTAGGGCACAAAGACATAAATGTGGAGCATTAAATTAAAATTGAACACACAAGTGAAACTGTCGAGTTACAATAAATTTACATATATATATATATATATATATATATATATGCGTGTGTGTGTGCGCGCGCGTGTGTGTGCGCGTGTGTGTATGTGTATTTAGGCAGCAAATTCTCTTTTAGACGTGTCTGATTGAATTAATTACAGACATTATGTCTGCTAATTTTTTAATAAAATCCGTCCATACTCACGAATATCCAAGCGTGTATTGAGGTTAAAGGATGAGAGAACTATGCTATAGCTGTTTAAATTTCTTTTATTTTCATTTCCAAAGTACTTGCACCCCTGAAGATGATCTTGAGAGAAGATCGAAAGTACTTGGGAAATGAAAAAAAAAGAAATTTAAACAGCTATAGCACATTTCTCTCATCCTTTAACATCAATTCACGGTAGGTTATTCGTGAGTATGAACGGATTTTATTAAAAATTAGCAGACATAATGCCTGTAATTTATTCAATCATATATATATATATATATATATATATATATATATATATATTAAACAATATACATAATATGTTACGTTAATTGCACAACTCGGAGTTTCATGCCGAAGAAATTTTCAAGCGCTGGGATAATATATTTATTATTACTTCTATTTATATGTTTACTCGACACCAAGTTTATAATTTTTATTGTTGGGGTGGATTATTATTGGGGTTAAAAAATTAAAAACAATTTTATTTTAAATTTAAGCTTAGATTAACTTTTAAGATGGAAAATAATGTTGGAAATAAGAAAAAATATAAATTAGAGAGACGCTGGTTACGAAAAGGGAGGCAACTCAAAATTTTTTCAAAAATTAAGGGTGGTACCAATAATTATAATACCAACCTAACCAGACTAATGATATCAGTAACAAAGTATGCCACGATGAAATAAAATAATATACAGTAATATACAATAAAATAATATAGAATAGAATAAAATAATATACTATAAAGTATGCTATAAAATAAGATAAAATAAGGCATAATATAGTACTACAAATAATTACTACAAGTACTAATATCAATGGAAAGAAAAGAAAATTAATAAAAATAAAATGAAAATAATGAAATGGAATAAGAGCCTTATATCTTGTTATTCGATCGAGCACTCTGGAGAAAGGGTAATTTCAAAACAGTTGCTGCCGCTGTTATTAACGCACCTCTCTTTAATTACGAATTGAGCCCTCTTGGCCACTGGCGTTTGTACACATTTCATACACGATACGTTAAAATTTAGCTTAGGGGTAGGATCTCTGACTGATGCCAAATCGGTCGAGTTTTGATCCCGTCTAGCCGCACTAATGATATATATATATATATATATATATATATATATATATATATATATACAGAGAGAGAGAGTGTGTGAGAGAGAGAGACATCCACAATAAGCGCAGATAATACCACTGAGTGTAACTGTAGAAGTTCTAACGAATGTCCATTGCAAAACAATTGTCAAACAGACTCTATTGTTTACCTAAACACTATTTCTACTACAGTTAAAAAAAATTATATCGGAAGTACCAAGAATTCTATTAAAAGTACGTGGTACCAACATGTATTATCTTTCTCCAATGACGCGTACAGAAATAGTAAATCCCTTTCTAAATATTTTTGGAACTTAAAAGAAGTTAATAAAACCCTTACAGTAAAATAGAAAATACTAAAAAAGAATAAAACTTGTAAATATTTACATGAAAAATTTGAAAATTTTAAACTTGCTTACAAAAAAAAACGATTAACCAAAAAGAAGTGAATTAACTGTAAATTGCCGGCACAGTTTAACTTTTACCTTAAAATATAGTTAAATTTTAAAAGTTACTTATTACCATTTCTTATAGCCATAACTGATTATTCTATGATGGTCAACCCCCTACGGGTAATTACCTTATTTTTTTGTTCACCTTTAATTTTGCTATGTAATGCCGTCCAGTTAGTATCATCTTATATAGATATTCTACAATAACCTACCCATCTCTTCAACGTCCTTTCAAAAACTGAACATGTGATATTTAACTTTAATCAAGATACTTTTATCGCTGACATATTTCATGGAATTGTCAAGGATGGCCTATCTATGTTCCGATTTATCATGGCATGAAAAAATAACGCACCCACCTACAACCTCTGAGCTTACCTTTCTATTCAGCGCAGACCTGGCATTTAATTGGTTAATCAAGACATACCCACAAGTCTATTTTTAATTCTCACCTTATGTTTCCACTCCCCACCTTTAACTTTCGGAAAAGAGGTAAGACTTTGTTTTTAAATTTTCTTAAAAAGCATTTTATCACCAGTTACATACCATAGTCTGAAGAAGTACAATCATAGTATTGAAACATGAAAGCTTTCGTGTAGCGGTTTCAACATGTTTTTATTATAATCTCTTATAATAAAACAAAAGATAAAAAAGATATTGTTCTACTTTGTATTGAGCACTTTTTAAAAGTAGAAGTTACAAACAATGGGATTTTACTCCATCCGTTCTTTCTCTCATTTGTATATATATATATATATATATATATATATATATATATATATATATATATATATATATATATGAAAAAATATACAGAAAAAACAAGCAAAATCTTAATATGCAATTATTTGTATTAATGTTAATATAAAAGTCTTAATATTAATATTAAGATTTTTGCTTGTTTTTTCTGTATATTTTCTTTCCTACTGTCGGATCTATATCCATATATTTGCTTACATATCCATTTGTATGTATATATATATATATATATATATATATATATATATATATATATATATATATATATACCGGCTGTAACAGTAAATTTGTCCAAATTGTGTAACAACGTGGGATAATTGTCCATACCACACAATGTTTAATATCTAAAAAATAGAAACCCGAAATCAATTGAGTTTCTTTTTCCCGGGTTTTCAGTTAAGTCGTTTAGCCATCTTGACACCATTTGTCGTCAGAATCAATTCAAAACACTTTGAGTTATTCAGCTAAAAAGAGAACAGGTTCAAATTGTTTTGTGTCAGACCCACCATGTCTTCCCAGCTGAGCAAAGGTAAGACGAACAAAATCATTTGAGCCTTGAGTAATGGCATCAACATTCATACTCTTGCTTTCATCTTCAAAGTCCTTTCAAGAACTACTGCTGCTACTGATGCGGCATTCACCCTGGGCGGATTGAGCCGGCTTCTTCCTGTTATGAGAAGAAGATTCTTGGGATAAATTGCAGAAGTAGGGTACCCAGGCCTACTCGGATAACGTTCTTGCTTGCCGCGGTGTTCCCACAGACGCAGAGACAGAAACGACCAGAAGCCGCCGGTTGCCGATGCAGACGCTCCTTGGATTTTCACCAGAGCCCTTGTTAGCCGGCGTGTGTGTCAGACCTGTCCGCATTGGGTGGCCCTACCAGGAACGAAGTTCCGGGCGGCATAGCTCTGACACTACCGTTTACACCCCCCACCGACTGTGAGGTAAGGGTTGGACTTTGGGGGCTTACAGTACCAGGTGTTCCCAAGCGGTCCCCCATCTAAGTACTGACCTGGCTCTACGATGCTTAACTTCGGTGATCGTACGAGAACCGGTGTTTCAGCGTGATTTGACCGTAAGCGCTTTCAAGAACCATCAAGAGAAAGGCGAATAAGTTTTAAAAAGTAGAAAAGAAAACTAGATCAGGAGGTCACAATAGCAAGAGGGATCATCATTTCAACTTAGAGCTAAATGCGTTCTTTTTGTTCAAGTTAGAGTCCAATATTGTTGTAAAAACATCGAAGAATTCCAGTAAGATATCTTTAATCATTTCTAAGATAATACAGTTTATATCTTAATCTAACAATTAGACAATTTTGCTGTTACACCCGGTAATGTGTGCTGAATGATATCGAGAAGCTCTAACAGGTCTTTTCGTTATGCTACTAAGTGGCGGGTAGTATTTTTATCATAGGACATATTTTGATATAAACAACACTCACAGGCAGTTATAAAAATGGTAGCAATTTGGGTATAATTGGGGGGGGGTCAATGTATATCATGGTTCAGTCAGTTATGTGCCATGCGTGATACACGCTTAGGCGATCATGTATCATTCGATACATGACTGACGAGGCAGATTTTTTTTCCCGCAGTCGGTTTCCATTTCTTTCTGCAGTAGACCAGTTACCATCCAAGGCTATAGAACCCGGTCTGTCCTGCTATTTTACCTATAGTTGGGGGGGGAGAAGAATAGGATTCATACATTTCCCAAATGTAAGTGAATGTAATGGATTTGACTGGAATTCGAACTCGGCTCTCATTACACATTACTTCATCAATAGCAATTTTTAGGATTATTATTTTATTAGTAGTTTCAGTCCATCTTATTGTTTATTGTCAATATTTC